TCCGTGAAAACTGCAAGGACTCGTCCAAGCAGTCACTGCAGAGTCGGTAATGACTGAGCGCAGATTTAAAAAAAAAAAATCCATATTATACAATCAGAAATGTTCAAATTTACCAATTTATTTTTCCAGAAATAAATAGGTAATATAATCTGAACCAAAAACAGTTTGTTTTTATGGATTTCCACAGACACCATATTGTTTTTGGCATAATAATAGATGTATTTCAATTTATTTTATAACTAGAATATTTACCCTATTGTTGTATAACCTCCACAAATCTAGGTAGAAAACTCTGATTATAATGTCTTATATTCATCTCCCTCTGCCTGAATACCTTGAACAATAAAACAGTCCAAACATTCCAAACTACATCTTGGTAGCAATTTTCCATGTGCCTGATCTTGGTATAAAAATGTTGATCTCTAGATGACAAAGAAATCATATAAACAGTAAATCAAGATGCTTCTAGCTCAGGTCTAATTTTCAGTTGGATGGATTGATTCTAGGCACAGAGACAGTTATACACTAAGCCAGCTGGTCCTTCCCAGCAAAGCTGGTTACAAGAGAAATTATTTGAATAACAAACATTAACTCAGACAAGGGCCATTGATCTTAGTCTTGGATACAGCAAAACATTCTGCAAAGCAGAACTGTTTTGATAGAAATTATGTTTGCATGGTTTGATTCATTAGGTTAATATTGTTAAACTAATGAAAGATCAATGTAATTTATGACATTTGAGTATGCATAATGTACACAGAATCTTAGGGATTTGTTGGAGAGGAAAGATTTGAACTGAATAGGAAGGGATATGGAATAGAGTATTCTGGATTAGGGCATAAGCAACTGGAACAATAAACAGCAAGATTTGTCACAGCAAGATTCTGCTGCAGTCCCATTTATTTTACTGGTTTGAAATAATTTTGTATATTATTTTTTTGTTCATGGGGAAAGACATGCTGTATAGACATATATTTTTCTCTGGAAGCATGTAGCAGCTTCCAAAAGGGGGGGGGGGAGAGACAAGGAAATTTTGGGAGTAAAAATGTGGCTCCTAACAGACCATCCAATTTGATTTAGTCCCACACCAATAATGCTTTAAAAACAAATCTAGTCATGGATTTCCAAATATCTTGTGTTGTTTGGCTCTTAGCAAAGGTGACTAATTTGATACCATTTTTTTCCTATAATCACGGCACGTATCCTAACAGCATAGCATGGCTTTTACTCTACTGTTATGTTACATACTAGTAGGGGTATTCACTGACTTGTAAAATTCAAAACAAACATTTTTTTATGTCTCCTGGGGAAACCTGTTCAGATCTGTTGGAATTTGTCAAGCAAGCACTAGGTTCTGAATGAAAGGTCCTGCTGACATAATGGACATATTTATTTTATTACTAGAAAGGCTATGATCTATTAAAGTAAATGTTCTTGGAACATTATATGAGTAAATGAATCAACAAGACTGCAAACTGTAACATGGTGCCATCAACAGCAACAAACTTCCAGAATTCAGTGGAGTTTATTCCCAAGTGTGTTTGTGTATGCATTTGTGTACATGTACGTATATATGTAGAAGTGTCTGAGTATGTCTATGCATATGTATATGTATGTGTTTGTGTGTGTGTATATATATATATGAGATATCATGTGTGAGATACACACACACACACACACGATCAAAGCCCAAGTTGATGTGTGATGGTCCAGCCCTTGTTTGACTTTGCTGTTCTAGCCAATGTGAAATCTTGTAAAAGTGTAACCAATTATTTTATTTACTTGATGGTATTTTCACTGCCAAGGAAAGGGATATGTGGGATTTTCTGTCTCAGTAGCCAAAACCATGTCACTCATCTTGGGTACTCTGGCAATGCACCTGTTGAGGAGAAGTGCTGTTTATTGTTTAAGCAGAAGCATGTCTTAGATGTGCCCTGATCTGAGCAAGATTGTTTTATGGCAGTTTAATCCATGTTATGGATACATGAGAGAAAATGTTAAAAATGTGTTTTCAAACTGTTAGGAAAAAAGTATCATAATCAAAACCTAAGCAAGAATTATTCAGAATTGTGTTTTCTAAACCAGACTAACAGAGCTTTAATACATACTATTAAAAATAGGACCACAATCAGGCACAGCAGCCCTCTTACAATTTTTGGGTCTGGGCTTCAGTAGTACCCCAACCTATACCCTAAATTTAGGGTTGGAATTATGAAGGACCACATTTTTCCCCATAAACCAGTTCACCCTGAATATATGAGGCCTAGTTCCACAACTTGTTGTCATCAATGCTGTAGTATTGGACTGCAGTATTTATTTGTTTGTTAGATTTATATCCTTCAGGAGTTCAAGGCAGCACACAAAGCATTCACTCATCTATTTTTCCACAAAACAACCCTGGGCTGAAAGAAAGTGATTGGCCCCAAAGTCACCCAGCGAAGGTAGGCTTGAATTGGGATCTCTGGTGCAAGTCCAACCTTTTATCCCACACAGGTTTTGTTTCACCAAACTTTTCACTTGGTTCGAGATTATTGTTTTATTCTTCTAGTCTGAGTATTTTCTTGGTTCTACTTTTTTCTTTCATTACCTCTATATAATTGTATTTACATTTATGACTTTAAGCTGTTTTGGGTCCAAAAAAGTCAGATATACATGTTTCTATATATAAATTAGTATGGTGCTGAAAATATACCCATAACCACCAAATATTTGATCTCAGATAGCTCTATTTCTACGTCAACTAAAAAAAAAAAAAACTTTCTTACAGAGCAAGACCTAGACGCTTAAAGATTTTTGAAACGTGATTCTCTTTTTGACCAAAGTAATGCTGTTTATAATTATTGCTGCATACTACTTTATTTTTCTATCCAATTCAAAATAATATATAATCAAGTGCCCAGAATTTTAGTAAGAAATAAGGGTTGGACGTTTCCATCTCAAGCTTTCAATTTGGTCTTAAAAGTTCAGTGCAGTTTTTTATACATAGAAGCTGCAGGAAAACCTGTGCAGGCTTGGGAGACGTGGAAGCTGCTAATATGTTTCAGAGAAACTTCATGGTGCTGATGAAAGCTTCCTTTGAAATGCAACTAACTGATTCAGGCAGGAACACTGCAATGAATGAAACATCATAATTTCTGTTCAGATACAATGGAAATTGGGGAACAGAATTTATCTGCTGTAATGTCTTCCACGTCTGCTTTTCTCAAAGCCTGGCCCTCCAGAGGGAAAACAATGCATTGGCTTCCAGGTTCTTGGGTTGCCAGCCCCATGCAAGATTAGAGAAATCATTTCCTCATGTTTTTCACTGCATCTTATTGCATCTCCAAAGTGGGATTCACGGTTATCTGGGATCAGGGCTTGGTGTAAAAGTCTATACGGAGGGGGGGGGGGGGGGGAAACTTAGACACATTTACTATCCTTTTAATAGAATGAAATACATGTCACCATAGACTGCAACCAGATAATATGTGTCCACATGCTAACTAATTATGGATAACTTCAAGGCCCCTGCTTTTTCTTCTTATAGGTCTTCATCTTTAAGCAGGTTAGGACTGGATTGCTCTTTAAACAAAGAATCATTCTTTTTAATGTAAAGTCACCATGTACTGGTTACCTCCCAATTAGGTTAAATTAGTATAATAAATCTACCTAGATGTGCCCTTTAAAGAACTTGGAAGTTGCATGGGTTCAGAATGTAGCAGCCGGACTTCTGTTTAGTGTTTTCCAGCAACGGTATGTGACACCTACTCACTGACCCTCTGTAGTTTTCTGAGTTAAATTCAAGGTGCTGGTGTGGAAATATAAATTCATATAGAGCTTTTTGGACCCAGGTACTTGAAGGAATGGTTTCTCCCTATGTGGTGAACCAGGAGGTCTGATTGCTCTCTTGTTATGGGTGCTGGCCAACAGGCAGGTTTGTTTAGAATCAACCAGGAAAAGAGAGGTATCAATTTTGTAAAATTCTCTCCCTGTTATAGTTAGGATGGCTCTCTCTTTGGCTTGTTTTAAGACAATATTAAATACTTATTCTTCCACTCAAGCCTTCTTTCCCTAAGAATCTGTTATTTTAGACTGTTACTTAGATACTTTATTATTGAAGCTATAAATATTTGGGTTTTTACTGCTTGTGTTTTTATTGTAATTTATGGATGTTATTATGGGTTATGATGCTTTGGGATAGCTGTGATTTTAGTGATGTTGCTTTGGATGTTAACTGCTGTGGGCTGTGCTGGCCAGAGTAAGTGGAATAGAAATATGTTAATAAATTAGGGGACCTGGCTACCCACTGTATCAAACTCCAGTAGTTGTGTAAGGTATTGCCAGCCCATTGATCCAATAAAGGATGCAATAGAATTTGCTCTGTGTTTCTTATAATGTGGTTTCATCCACCTAATAATACTGTAATATTAGCAGAATTTTGAAGATGTTGTTATGTTCTTTTACCATGACCAATTTTTGTTGCCTTTAGGTAAACCTGCAGGTTATGGAGGCAATAGACGTTCCTCTCCTACTAGGGGAATAGTGGATGAATGCTGTTTCCAGAGCTGTGACCTGATACGGTTGGAGATGTACTGTGCTCCTGTCAAGCCACCTAAATCTGCACGATCTGTACGTGCTCAGCGACACACTGATATGCCTAAAGCACAAAAGGTAGCCAAAGTGTGATCAAATTTAATTTGATTATTTGTTACATATGAGGATTTTCAGCATGGGATGGACACACAGTTGCCTAGTGCCAGAAATTCAAGTTTGATATCTATGGGCAGCATTCATTTCCAAAATAGTCTTCCAGTAATAACCAGAAATGGAACGGAAGACACCAGAGGAAGAGACAACTGCCTACATTCCACATCTTTTTATCTCATCTGTGTCTTTGCCTTCTTTTTCTTTCTCTGTTAGTAGCTCCTGATAAACGATCAGTGTTATTTTGAAGCATCCTGGGTTATTGTGACAGTGCCCCACTTTTTTCTAGCTAGCCACATGATTTCATCACTCCTATCTAGCTTTTTTTCTTCTGTCCCAACATACTCAACATTCTTGCTGAGTAGTCAGTCATTGGGTAATTTAGGAATTATTACCTCAGCTTATGATTTACTCTCTAAGGATTGCTTATATGTCTGTTGATAACATCTTTTGTTGCTTTAGCTACCTAAGGACTGGTACTCATCCTTGAACTTTGCAAAGAATACTGTACTAAAAGTGTCCAATTAACTTTAATGAACTTTGTTGTCCTCTTTTGTATTGATATCACCCTTCTGTCCATGTTTATGAATGCCTGTTGTTGACCACTGTGTGACACTGAATGCTGGACTAGAAGGGACAGAGACTGATCCAACAGGACTCTCTGTTCTTATGTTCTTTTCTTAGGCTTCTGTCCAATGTAGTCATTTCAAAGTATGTCTCACTGAAATCAGCGGGATTTACTTTTGATGCATACACATTGGATCAAACATTGCATCTTACAACTGATTTTTATCTGAACATTTTAGAGTCAGTTTTTACATTTTAACTTTCCCCAGGCCTTAGAGTGGTCTAGAATTTAAATTAGTAAAATAAATAAATTGGCTTCTTTTAACAATCTTTCCTGAACTGATCAGGATTCATCTATGGCCTTTAGGGCAGCTTGGCTATCATTACAATAAGCCTCAGCTTGGTGGGGGTGCAAGGAGATTGCATTATGCAAATCAACTGATGGAATGAGACCAAGGTCAGAAGGGACTGTATTCTGTTAATACCATGGCTGACAGAGAAGTCTCATTAATGCCAGAACACAAAAGCTATTCATGTTAGTCAGAAACAGGGCTACTTAGAAAGTCACATTTTTATTTTGCTTCTTTCTTTATTCCAATTATACTCTGCTTTCTATTCCAGTGAATACTCAAACTGGCTAACAAAATTTAATAAACATCAATAACAACACTATTTTTTTTAAAAAGGGGGAAAGTTAAAATATTAGTTGAAATTATTGCTAAATAATTTAAAAATTAAAATCTTGACAAAACAGATGCCTCTTTACAGCATTTCTAAAGGCTGAAAGAGTGAAGACCAAACTTCTAAAGGACTTCATTCCATAAACTGGGAGAACGCAGGACAAAATTCTTTCTGAAGTGGTAAAAAGAAAGAATTTAATTTGTATGATCAGATTTTAAGCAGCACTTTAAAGGTTAATATCAACACCTTAAATTGTGCCTGGTAACCAAATGGTAAACAGTGAAAATCTTTCAGTTCAGAGTTCATATGATATCTGTATTTTGCTTCAGCTTCTGCAACCTAGCTGCTATATTTTGCACCAATTTAAACTTCAGGGTGTTTTCAAGGACAGCCCCAGGTGAATCATGTTGCAGCATCAAAACTGAAGTTAACCGAGGCAGAGATAATGCAAAGCACTGGCTAAAATAAAGTACATTTGCTAAACTTATATTCCACCTTTCCTTCAGGAACTCAGTAGTATAAATAGCATTCCCTCTTCCATTTTCTTCCCCACGACAAGACTGTGCAGTAGGTTGGGGTGAAAGAACATGATTGGTCCAGAGTTGCCCAGTGAATTTCCATAGCTGAGGTGGGCTTGAATCTGGATCTCTTCAGTTTTGGTCCAGCACCTTAACTATTATATTACACTGGCTTTTACATTATTAGTGGCTAACACATAATTCTTTGTCAGGTTAAGCATATGTTCTCCAAGGAATAGGATTCAAATATAAAACAATGTTATTATTGGACTCATATTGGTCATATCATTTCACAAATTAAACATGTTATAACTTTGTCAGAAAGTACAAGATTTTCCATTACAGACAAAAATAGCTGTAGCTAAACGACTAGAAGATTGGCATGGTCTCAAAGGAACTATTTATCTACACAGCATTTTCAACTAATCCTCAGCTAGATACCCAGAAAACAGATTGTTCATTATTCTAATGGGAGGTCCATATGTGGTAGTTTTTGTTTTGCAGCATGGCAGCTTGAAATTTTTAAATACTGTAATTCTATCGCCTGTCTGTCTGTCTGTCTGTCTGTCTGTCTATCTATCTATCTATCTATCTATCTATCTATCTATCTATCTATCTATCTAAAGATAACTTTCTACCTGCTGGTCTAATTCCCTAGGATAGGAGTGGGGAGCCTCCAGCATTGTTGGCAATATCTGGTTGCCCACAGGTCCCCGTTCCTGTTCTGTGGCCTTCAATAAAGTCCTAGATCTGAAACTGAAACTGGCATAGTGGAGCCAGCCCTAGCAAATTCTGGTTTAAATCCTGATGTATTTCCAAATATAATAGATGACCTTGGAAAAGTTGAAGTTAACACAGTTTAGCCATATGGCTAAACTATGAGGAAAGACCCACATTCAAACTCTGCTAAGAAAGCTGCTTCCGGTTAGCTCTGTAGTGTACCCTTCTCAAATTTGATGCAGTGCAGATGTATTGCACCATAACTCCCATAGGCCCAAGCCACCATAATTGAAGAACATATTTTACACAGTAGTGAAGTAGACTTACAATACTTTGACTCAGTATTAGGGATTTCTTTTCAGCATGAAATGCCGTAATCTACCAATGCAAAATTTGTCATAGCATCCGGGATAGTCATGAACGAATTCTGCTTATTCTGTCATTCAAAAGTGAAAAAATGGGTATATTTCTGAAACTACATACAAAAAGCTGTATATTACCAAAAGTTATATACAAAAAGGTATAAGAGTCAATTCCATTAAACAAAGAGTATATCTAGGAAAGCCATGTGCGTGTTAAAATTTCTGCTTGCATGTTGTAAAAGCAAGCAGAAGTTTTTGTTCTGTATCTGTATTTTATTAACTTACAGAAAAATGATGGAACAGAATTTTAAGTGATTAGACAGAGAACAGATTTAGATTGTGCCACATATCCCAACTAGGTATAAACTAGCTTCTTGTCTTCCCGTTCAAAAAATAGGAACAGAACGAATAGCCTACTGCAGGATTCAGTGAGACAAGGATTGTCAATGGCTTTCACTTAACTAATATGTCTTTTATTTTCAGGAAGTGCACTTGAAGAATACAAGTAGAGGAAACACAGGAAACAGGAACTACAGAATGTAAGAAAATTCCATCCGTAAGAATGAAGAATGAATGTGCCACCTGCAGGATTCTTTGCTGTAAATAGTCAGACATTGGACAAAGCTAGAGTTCAATAAGCTTGAGGAATTCTCCACTAATGGGCATTCTCTCTATGAACAATGCAAGTAAACATTCCATCCAAAAGCCAACTCAGTGCTAAAATGTTTCCGAGACTAGTAGATTGCTGCTGTAATTGTTCACCTCCTGCTAGAAAATATCCTACATGCACGCAGGTACATATTGTACATGCACACACCTATCCACAGACACAGACCTCTCAAAAATCTTCTGCCCCTCAAAGGCAGCAGCAAATGTAAAGGCCTTTGATGGATTCAATTGCACTAAATTAATTTATGAACCCTGCTGTTGGAGTCATTCACCAGCCTTATCTAAGTAGGGTTTATTTTTTTCTTTTTTTAAATATTTGTATTTCTATATAAGCAACAGATTGTTTGTCTTGCAGTGTCTGATAACACTGTTTGATTTCCCCTTCATATTTGCACAGTTTGAAATTCCCAGTAGCAAAGGCAGTAAAGTTAACACATTAATTTCACTAGTGGCTTTTTAACAGCTCATCAGCCACATGCATTCATTCCACTCAGAGATCCTTATGTGTTCCAATATCGATAGGAAGCTCTTGCATAAGCGGAAAGCATTATTTTCTTCCATTGAGGATGCTGTTTTATATATATATGGAAAGCTGTGCTCGGCCACTGAAATGAACGGAGCATCCTTAATACACTGGAACTCCCTGTGTGGACTACCATACCTAAAATAAGCTGCTCAGTCTAGATTTTAAGATGAGCACTCCCCTGCCTATAACAGATGAAAATACAAATATATGCAAGATGAACAATAAAATAATTTTGTCTAGGATAAGCTGAGAGCACATATGAGCTCTCTTAAATTCTCAGCGATTCTTTCAGACAAGTTATTTCACAACGGTATAAATAACATGTCTTTTTCTTCCATATAAGGCAGTACATAGAAATTTAGCATGTTAATCATACACATATAACCAACAGTATGTAAATCTCTTTAATGGTGCAATGGTGCTATTCTGTAGCTTGTTTTATGAACGGGTCTGAGCAAAACTGTAAGAGATACAAGCAAAATAGACTATTTGAAATGAGGTGGAAACTAAGCCAAAGGTTAGAGAGAAGGGTTTTTAAAAAGATGCATGATTGCTTTCAGGTTTCTAATTAACTAAAACATTAATATCAAAGAGTAATACTAATATCCAAACATTACTGAAACTAGAAAGGACGTTCATGATTCATACTACTGTAAAGAAGCTGAGATTTTATCTTAGAAAAGCACCTTTGACAACAATGAGCAAAAGTGGAGCAAGCTTCAAAAGACTCTTAAAACTAGCATGGTTGTGACAGAAAAAAGAAGGCTACAGGGTACTGTAGCTTGAGTTCCCTTTTGACATATGAAAACACCAACCACCTCCACCATCATCCCCAGAACAGCAGCACTCAACCTTGTACAGTACTACCTTATTTATATGGCAATCTGTTCAGGAATTTTAATTGTAGGACAAGCCAGAAGCAAGTATTGGCCACTGAACTTCATTTAATCTCAACTAATTATATCTTAAAGTCATAGAACTGGAAGGAAATTAAGAGGTCCCATAGTTCACAGTGTTCTCAGTTCAGGATACAGCCCTAGAAGGTGGTCATGAGGCTAATGCTTAAATACTTGGAGTGGAAAAGAGCCTACTGCATTATTGCATTGCTAACATTTGGAATTTTTTCCAGATATTTAAGAAGCACTACAATAAGGAAACAAGTCTATTGCTGTTGGTTTTTTTGTTGTTGTTATTGCCATGTAACCATTTTTACATGGGCTAGATAGTCCTACAAACTTCTGTACCTGAACAAATCTTCCCAGCCCTGATTAATTTATATACATACAAATACATTTAAAGTTGCAAGGCTACCTACATTTTCCTTCAGTCTCATGAACTGCAGAGATCTTAATTGGTAGATATTAGTACAGTGAACTAAAATTAAATCCATATCTGAAAGGAATGAAGCCCAATGGGATCCAGTGGGCCTTACTTTCAGGAAAAAATGCATGAGATCACGCTGCTTTAATGAAAAAAAGATCAAGATGGTATAAAGTTCCGGTTGCATTCTGCACTGGCATAAATTTATTTGGACCTATTAACATTTTTACATACCTTAGGTGATCATTAGTATCTACAAACGTATCTGTAAATGACGTCTTTTGCTATATGCAGGACGTCTCCATTTTTTACAGAAAGTCAGATGAGAAATATTATGCAGCAAATTTTGCTTTGCCTATTGTTGTTTTGGTTAATAATGCAAAGTGGTGCTATTGTTCTGTCTGAGAAAGTACTTGAATAAAAAATATATAGAAGAAAACATACATATGTTTTTAAGATAAGCAAATTGCACATATAGAGATTGTACTTATTAAAATTGAAATATGTCTAGTCATAACCTTTCAGCTTTTTATCATTATAAAAAAAAAGAAACATTTTATGAAATGAGAGACTAGTCTCGTTAAAAACAAAGAAAATTAAATTTGAAATTAATACTAATGCTACATATATTGACTATCAAGAGATAAAGGATGATATTAAGAAAACTCTTAACTTCCATTTGTTGCAATGGACAGGGTATAGATCTGACTTAGCTGGGATAAACAGACGTTGCACTGCAAAACTGCTTTAGGTCCCACTCCAGCACTTAATGTGTGAGTAGAGCTCCAAGTGTGGGACTCTTTCTCTGGGATATAGCAAAAGGACTTGAATATACTGTATGTTGTCCAACTGATCACTCTTGAGTAGGCCTTCCAATGATCAAGATGATTTCACAATGAAATGTTTCAGTTCATGTCACAATCTCAGTTCATACCTCCTGTCCTGAAGTGAAAAGAATATATGAAAATCCATTTCTGACTGGGACATGTAAGAAAAAAGGGGAAAGCTCCATAAGAAAATGTATGGCTAATATTTTATGGAGCCTAAGTTATGTATGCTTGTGTGTTTGTGTGAGTGCACACACCTGTATCTTGGTCCATGTATATGATTTAAGACTGTATAATTTTCATAAACTTTATCTCATGAAAAAATAACATTTTAATTTCGTTCGTAATTAATGTTCATTTTTTAATGAAGGTTAACACAATTAAAGATTATTTGAATCTAGAGATGAAGTAGGAAAATGAGTTCCCCCATTGGGGGGAGATGGGCGATTGAAAAATTTGATAAATTAAATAAATTAAATAAAAATAAAATGGTTCTGTATAAAATATAAGCATGTTATTTATTCATTTTTAAAGCTACTTTTAAGCAGAAGTCTCATCCCACTGATTTGGGAGTAAGTCCTGTTGAATGAAATGGGACCTACTTTTACATAGGAGTACTCTCTTTGTCTGGAAATTAATTGAATAATTCATTAAACAAAAAAATAAATGAACCAACAAACTGACTCCTCTTTTAAAAATAGCACTATTTCTACTCAAAAAGTGTGCCATATAATTTAAAGATAATCCAAACAGACATTCCATTGTTCTGGTTGCAAACAGGCACTCTAAGTTAAATGTCTGTGGATTTAAGGATTATTTTTAAAAGGGGGATCATATTTTTTTTTAATTTTTGGCAAAAATGTTTTCAGTTATTTAATAAGTCACAAATCTCCCTTTGTGATTTTTCTCAGATGTAATTTTGTTCAGCTAAATCATATTTGGTAAATCATGCATCACATTTTGGTCTTGAAAGAGAAGCAATTCTACCTACAGACCATGTTCATTTTTATTTTGTCCTGACATTTTTGCTTATCTTAGCACTACAAGGCTTGTCTTTGTACAAACACAGCATCTTATGCACATTTTTATTTGATTTTTACGTGAAGGAAGTTATAAGACTATCTGAAACTTGGCTACAAATAATATAGAGATACTGCCCTATAAAACAACAATGGACGATGTTTTCATTTCCCTAGAAGGACTAAGGCTAAATATAGATAATCTCCGCCCCCCCCCTGCAATTCTGCTCAAGTTGATTGTAATTAAGAACATGTAGCCACCTCTTACTGAATGTGTATTTCGATTTAATTGCAATTGAGTTGAGTTGAGTTGGGGCAACAGATTTTCACAGGCTCGAAGACAGAATTATAGGATGATCATTGCCCGTAGGGAAACATCTTTTTTTCCTGTACAGGTAGTGCCTTAATTGAGACTGGAGTTTCCATCACTAAACAAAGCAGTCATTAGGCAAAACATCACATGACTGCACCACTTAGCAATGGCAGTTCTGCTAGTCCTGGTTGAGATTGTTAGGCGAGGACTGCAACATCATTAGGCAAGGACCTTGTGCTTCTCCTGCCCAGCTGCACTCGCCTCGCTTCAATTCCCCCCACATGCCTATCTCCTCCCCATCTCTGCCCTTTTGGCCGCCTTTTGTTCCGGCCACCACTGAAGGCCTCACAAAGGCCCAGCAGCTGGCTTGGCTAGACACACCTTGTCAGCAGCAGGAGGAAGAAGATGGTGAAGTCAGCTGGGGGCAACATGCGTAGGCAGCAATGTGGAGCAGCAGGGTGACCAAAAGGGCAGAGATGGGGGAGAAAGGGGGGGGGGGAATTGAAGTACATGGTGCGGTCGAAAATGCAGGTGGGCTGCCAAGTGCCCAAATTTTGATCATGTGACCATGGGGACACTGCAATAGCCATAACTTTGAGGACCAGTCATAACTACCACTTGTTCAGTGCCGTCATAACTTTGAACGGTTACTGAATGAATGGTTGCTAAGCAAGGACTACCTGTACTGCTTACTATTCCTCTTTACCTTGATTCTTTTTCTGGACAAGCACAGGCATTTTCAAAGAAAGCACCATCCTGAAGATACCTAATATTTTTACTTCTAAGAAAATTTATTTGGCATGTCAGCTTCAGTTGTTTTAAAAATTACTTTTTATGTATAAAAAATCAGTTGGAAGTAAGGATAAACTGGTGCTCCATGAGCACTACACTGAGAATGCCAGCAATGGGTGACCATAGTACAATCCCAGAGTGGACTCCTGAAATTGGTGGTGTGTAGTTTGTAAATGTAAGGTTCTTTTGATGCATTCCAATGAAATTAGTTACAATGTAAGGGTGATTTGATTTATTGAAAATAAAGAATTCATGAACTTACATGAGAAAAGCAGAAATTTTGTGATTACACTGCAGGTTAAATGTTACAAGGTTTAGGAGGACAAGATAGCAAAATACTTGCTTAACGACTGCCCTGTTTAGTGACCATTTGACGTTATGACAGCACTGAAGAAGTAACTTTATGACCAACCTTCACATTTATGACCATCATGGTGTCCCCACAGTCATGTTATCAACATTCAGGCACTTCACAACCGGCTTCTGACAAGCAGAGTCAATGGAGAAGCCAGCAGTAAAATCACAAGTCACTGTCACATGATGTCTTGCTTAATGACCCACAGTGATTTGCTTAACAACTGCAGTGGAAGTGATATTTTGCTTAGCAACTGGATTACTTAGCGACACAGTTGCTGATCCCAATTATGGTTGCTAAGCGAGGACTACCTGGAAGGAAGACTAAAATGTCTGACAGGTTACATTCTGAAAAATTACAGCATTTTAACTAGTTATAGACCCATGAGAACCATTTTATGAAACCTGCCCCCCAGCAAACATGTGCCAAGAGCACCTGCAACAGGTACTTAAAATTCCAAAAGTTCCCACCAGCCCAAAAGATTGAGGACTCCTGATATCCTCAGTTAGATTGCCCATTTCCTTCTCTGCCCATTTGTATATGTGCATATTGAATTCCCTACCATTTTAAATTACTTTTCTTTTTCAAAAATTTTCTTGAGCATTGTCTCTTCTATTGGCTCTCTAGCTTGCTGCACATGACTCCTCCAAGTGTATTTAAAAATTTGCTATAGCTAACATCCATAACTCTTGTTCTGTATTAAAAATAGTAGGAAATCTTTAGCCTTCAAAACACCATTTGATTGTAACTCCCATCCTTGCTGATCATTAGCCAGTTAACTGATGTTTCAGTTCCTTACCCAGGATGCAGAGAATGTCATAACTGGGAGTGGAACTATAATTTCATAATTATAGTTACCTACATACATAAAAATCAACCAACCAACCACGTACACTATTTAGAAAAAGTGCCTGACTGCAGTGACATCTTGCTAGAGGCAAAGAGGACAATTTGTCTTAAGCTGCTAGCATAACTAAGTTTCATATCAATCAGTAATGCTCAAATCATGTATTTGGGGAAACCCTTGGAAGCCATATAAGTGGCTACCTTGAGCTGCACGGCAGTAGCAGCCCTTTCGCATGCATGCTCCCCCAGCAGATAGATAGATACAGTGGTACCTCGGGATACGAACGCCTCTACTAACGAACTATTCGGGTTATGAACAGCGCCGGCCGCAAAAATTTACCTTGATCTGCAACCTCCGCCTCGGGGTACGGTCATTTTTCCGCCCTGACACGTGGTCCGCGGCCATTTTTCCTCCCCTGACACATGGTCTGCAGCCGTTCTCCCGCTGCGCTGCGCCACGCCGCACCCGGCCTTTTTCCCACCGCGCCGTGCGGCACCCGGCCGTTCTCCTGCCCCTGACGTGTGGTCCGCGGATGCCAGAACGGATTAACGGTAATTACATTGAACCTTATGGGAAAATTTGCTTCGGGGTGCGATCAAATTCGGAGGGCG